AGATCTGCACTGACAAAGTGACAGGCGGGCGCCGACTGATCAAACTGCACTAATACAGGCGCAACAGGGTCGATCTGTGCTGTACGCACAGCTGCAGAGTCGAACGTTTTTTTGGCGGGAAAAGCTCTTTTTCACTTGTTTTTGTGCCATCCAGGGATTTTGAGAGAAATCCAGGGATTCTGCATGTCTTGTCAAGGGATTGAGATTGTGGTGGTTGGTCAGTATGTGTGTTGCTTGTATGGTGTGAGTGCATTTCGGTTATAAAGAACCTGGCCTATAGAGAAGTAATTCTCCTCTACAATGGTGTTGGTTATATCAGGATTTGACTTTGCTATGGTCAAAACAGTACTATCTATACAGTATGGATGCTGTTCACGTTATGAGGTCACCGCTATACACAGGATACTGCATTAATGGCAGAAAACATTACAAACACTGGTACCTTGCAGGTTATTTTCAACAGTATCAACACACATACACACACACACACACACACACACACACACACACACACACACAAACACCTTTGACCTTTCGACGCCCATCGCCATGGCAACTTGTGCGGGGATTGCACCATTCAACAGCTTGCAAGGCTAAAGAATTGACCGCAATTATTCAGACTTAGTAATGATCCACACCACACAGGTTTGAAGTGAGTTTTGTAGACACACACACACACAAACACACACACACACACGCACACACACGCACACACACACACACACACACACATGCACACATGCACATATACGCACGCGGACGGGCGTGCATGCGCGCGCACGCACGCCTTCGTGCACACGCACGCACGCACACATGCGCAGGCACACACGCGCACACACACACACACACACAAGCACCATGTGCCATGTGCACCAACCACGTGAGTAGACAGAATCAGTACAAGAAAAACGTGATCTTGATGTAAACAATTCAAACTAACTGTTGCATAGATATCCTAATCATAATATGATTGATCTGCGAGAAAACAATCCAACAAGTATAATATTATTAAAAAATTCAGAACTATTACAGCCTACATATAATGTATAATGAACTCAGATGGAGAGCCAAGGATTAAAATGAAGAAGGAAGGACCAATGCAAAAATATATCCACCACTGGACAGATTTGTATTCTAGCAATTGCAAACGTTCTTTTCTGAGATAACCGGGTGAATAAACACCGGGAACCAGAAGCTACCTAAGAATAACTGGAGTGGAATAACTGTTGCAGCATCTACCTAATCCATTAAAGAAATCGAAGAACTGTGGAATAAAATACGTGAGATGTGTTCAGTTTATGTGAGAGTGCTGTAAGATAGAACACGTCACCGAGCAAGGCGGCGGATGAGTGGAGGAAAACAAAATTCTCAATGAGAAGTGTAGAAAAGACAACTGAAAATTGCTGAGGATGTACAACTAAGGGGTTGTGTTTATGTGTGTGTCTGTGTGTGTGTGTGTGTGTGTGTGTGTGTGTGTGTGTGTGTGTGTGTGTCTGTGTGTGTGTGTGTGTGTGTGTGTGTGTGTGTGTGTGTGCGTGTGTGTTGGGGAGGGGGGGGGGGTAGAGGAGTAGGATGGGATACAAGATCAGTTTGTGAACGCTATGGTAATTTATGTCATGATGCATACAAAAGTGTGAGCAGGTGACTGATGACAGGTGTCTAACAAGAAACCTTCAAAACAAGAAAATCTTGTGATTACCGCCAGATGAAACAGCTACTAAACCCTCACTTGTCACGCAGACACTCCTCGGGTTGTCCAGCTCTCCTTTTCCAAACTCAGCCAGTGGTGTGTAAGTATCTGTGGCATATACCTGCACAGAACATGGACAACACTGGTGAGCGTACAGGAATAACACGTATTATAGATGGTTGATGCATGGTGATGCATGGATGATGCATGGATGATGTATGAATGATGTATGAATGATGTATGGGTGATCCATTAATGATGCATGGCGGGTGCATGAATGATGCTCAATGTATGGTTGATGGTATCATGGAAAGTATGGGTGAGCGTGGACATACAATGAACATGGACATGGATGTTTATTATTTTAAGCCACACTGGAGTATAAGCCACACTGGAGTATAAACCACACTGGAGTATAAGCCATACTGGAGTATAAGCCACACTGGAGTATAAGCCACACTGGAGTATAAGCCCGGTGACACTACAGTATAAGCCGCACTGGAAAAAAAGCCCCATCTGAACGATTTGAATTGTTTGGCACCAAATCGAAACATCTTTCTCATTTACTACTGTTGATTTGATCATCGTAGTATAAGGCACACCGGATTCTCTTTGGATGTATTACTGCTGTCTAAAATGCGGCTTATACATGTCGCGAAAATACTTGGACCTATTTTTTTTATTCCTCTCGATATATCACCAGGCAAAGAGAACAAGAGTTGAACTACCATTCGGATTGGCAAGAAGAAGAAGAACCCAAAAAAACCATTTGTCCAAACCGTTCCTCGTCCAATATCACTGAAAAGCCCGCGAAGAACCAAACTCACGTGGCAATATTTGCCACGTTCAAGAAATCGGATCAAATACGTGTTACAAGTGAAACCGCAGTGATTCACCGGCACAAATACATGGTGGACACAGTACAGAAAAACAATATTCGTGACTCAGACTGATATCATTACAATACTCCAGAAAATAAGGTATATGCAATAGGTGTGTAAACCACTTTGCTACTTCTGAAGTATGTTTACATTCATTGAAAGATGAATATGCATCAAACCAGCACCATGGAGACAATTTCGGTCAGGGATTCAGTAACGTTACATCAAACAACGTCCTCTTACACCGGTGTAAACTGAATCCACCACAACATGGCACGTATATTTCAAGTACAGTAAAACCTGTCAAGGCAGCCACTCGGATAACGCGACCACCTGTCCTAGAAGACCACTGCAACCAGGACCTAATGGTGCTATTTCCAGTCAATTGACCCTGGAGAAGGAGACCACCTGGTAATAGATACCACATTTTGAAGGTCCCTTGAGTGGTCGTGTTAGACTGGTTTCACTGTACAGATGGGCTTCGAAGGCATACTCCTATACAAGTACTTAAATTCTACTTAAACTGATAAGGCATTTCTCTAAATGTCAACATGCAAGCCAAGCATACAGTA